AATTAAGAAAAAAAATACATTGATGAATGAAAGAATGAATGAATGAATGAATTAATGAATTAATGAATTAATTAATAAACACATCAATAGATAAGTAGATAGATAAAAACGTAAATAAATAAATGAATAAAAAATATAAATGAAAACAAGTATACAGATCACTAAATACATTTTTGTAAAATCCATCTCTTCTACCAGATGAGGAGAGCGAGGGCGTGTGGGTACACAGACAAAGCGGCACCACCGCCTCAATCTTCGATTGGTTCCCCAGCGCCCCGAACGACTCACAGGGCACCAAGAACTGCCTGAGCTTCCTCTGGTACTTCAATGAGGCCACTGGGGTCAAGATGAAGGACGTCTCGTGCTCTTATGTGGAGGGAGCCACGGTCTGGCAGCACAGCTACTTGTGTGAGGTGCCGGAGGCAGATAGTGTGATTCGGAATAATTGTCCTGCCTAACTGCTCGAAGACGGCATCTGCTACTGCAACAGTAATATTTGCAGCAGCAGCGTCATCGTTTGCTGCAGCAGCATTTACAGCAGCAGCAGCATTTGCAGCAGCAGCTAAGCTGTAGAAGCAGTAGCAGAAGCGGCAGCAACAATAACAGTGTCTTCAGCAGTTTATAACGAAGTCCTTTGTTAAATGTGTAGTATTAGTATTAAAGCATTTATATTCAGATTTGCTTCCTGCTTAACGTTTGAATTTGTGTCATCACCATCATCATCATCATCATCATCATCCTCATCCTCATCATCATCATCATCATCATCATCATCATCATCATCATTGTTCGGAAAGCAGAGTAGGAGGGAGAGTCTTGTTTGAATTTCAGATAAAATAACATAACAAGGTAAAATGTTTAAATTGTGTTTTAATAGACACGGCTCAACGTTTCGCCTCCTGGACTTCCTCAGGAGCAACAGAGAGAAAAACTATATGAGCGCTGTATACTAACAGGGAAATAGGCTTAACAAAGAGGGTCTTAAGATAGCGTGTGGTTACAGGCTAGACGGAAGTGACTAAGAGGGAGCCAGGCCAAGGGGTTAATTATAAAGAAAGTGATACTAGTCTAGCAAATGTATCAATTTATCTCTACGAGAGGCTGACAGGAAGTTAAATGTGTGAACGTGGGGTGAAAGAGGGAAATGTTAGGGCGTACTTTATAGAGGCATCTCAGTTGGAGGCAAAAGGAGAGTGACAGAAGACGTGTGTGTGTGTGTGTGTGAGAGAGAGAGAGAGA